AACTAATATTAATCATTGCCTCTCCATTAGAACTGTTACATACCCCTGAAATGCTTCAATTCGTGAACACGTCACAAGACCCTGCAGGTCCTGAYGATCCGTTAGTCATAGACAAGTTCATATCCCATACTTCATTTGGTATAGGACAGCTCGTCCTAAGGCCTGGAGCCGAGAAAGGGAAGCAACATGTACGACGGGACACAATGGTAAGACAAAATTTGATTGACACCTGTCATGGTAATAATTGATAACGACGTAATAGCCTTTATTAATGCAAAAAATTGTTTTGACTGAGATTCTCTAGGAGCGTACAACTCATGTACATTAATGTTTAGTGAGTACTTTCATCGTCTATTTTCGCGGACTTGCAGGATTGCGCACTATTCAACAGTTTCCAGTCAGTTTCTCGACGACTGAAAACGTTTGAAGTTTTCTTTCTGTCTAAAATTCTTTTAGTTCAATATTAAGCCAATTGTATTTTTTGGATATCCCAGGCATTTCATGTACTTACTGGACAAGTAGAAGTCACCATCCATCAAACAACGGCGCTGTTACGAGCTGGATCAACCTTCTACGTACCAGAAGGTAACCGAGACTGTTACCCCCCTCTTCCCTTCTCTTTCCCTCTCTTCCCTTCCTTCCTTTTCTTCCCTTCTCTGGCCATACTTTTTTATTTCAACATGTATTTTTTTTTCATTTTTTTTTTAGGAAATTGTTACAATTTGAAAAACACCAACGACACAGACACAAGATTGTTCTTTATACAAATCAAATCACAAGACTGACAGCTATAAGTATTGATCGTTAGTAGTATTTACTATTGATAGTTTATGAGTAGTCTAACGTAGGAAAACGTTTGGTCTATCCCTTCAAGGCGAATGGGACTAAAGACTAACTGAGAGAGGCATGCAAAAATGAACTTGTAAGAAGTCAAAGTTGTATTTCACTAAGCTGTAAGGGACCTATAGGTGTATATATCAGTCAGCGTATTTTAGACATACACGAAAGCAGTCATGGCTAACGTAACATTAGGTCAGTAATGTGTTTTTGTGATTTCTCATAGGACAAGATTTTTAAATCCAGGTCTGATTGTTCAATAAGTTTTAGGCTCATAATAAAAAAAGTTAAACAAGCAAAAGAACAAAAATACTAATAAAACGTTAGCGTTATTTGGTCTCGCATACTTTCTGAGCCCTGTCTTATGTCGGTCTTCCTCTGTAAGGAGACTATTGTTAGTGTTGATTAAGGTTTAAGCAACCTGGCATTGTAAATACATTGTAAATAGTACCGTTCTTTGTAATACATTTGTTACAATATCGAGTGTTCTTGTTGTTGTGTTGAAAGTCGAAAGG